CGCTGCGCGCCGTGTACGTGCTGGCCGAGAGCGGGCCGGGCGCCCCGGAGCGCGGGGCGCGCCACTGCCTGCTGCGGGCCTGCGAGGCGGAGGGCGCGCACCTCGCCACTCTGCACTTCGGCCAGCTCGACTTCGGCGAGACCGCCGTGCTGGACGCCTTCTACGACGCGGGTGAGCCGGCACCGGGGGGCTGCGGTGACGCCTTGGTTCTTGGCCAACTTTGCCAAAGAGTTGGGAACAGTTTTCTTCGCAAGCTTTCAGCCCTTCGGCAGGCTGAGGAAGCACCTGCAGTTGTTGGAGGAGGTTGGGGTGGGGTGGAGTGTCCTGGTCCTGGATGGAAGGAATAGTCAATAGAGCCTGGCACGCAGGCAAGGAAGCCAGTCTGTGAAGAAAGCACTCGGTGAAGATGAAGGGTTTTTTCAACCCAAAAGCTTGCTAAGAAACTTTGTCCAACTGTTGAGTTGGTCTAATAAAAGGTATTGGATTCACCCAAAGAACCGTGCCTGCCTATGCGCTTAGACCAGTGTTTCCCAACCTCAGGGAATGGGTTACAGTGTGACAGTTTAGTGGCAGAGGAGGGGGGAAAAAAACAGCAGAAAACCTGCCTGGGTCCCTGCCAGTTTGGCTTGGGGGAAAGTTCCTTTGAGACTCCAGTGCTGGCAATTGGCGAGGAGGATGTGACCGAGGCACTCAGTCAGGTGTCTAGGGAAGACGATTATCTGTGCCACCTCAGAACACCGGTTCCTTCCATCCAGGGTCCCCTCTTCAGCTGCACGCAACTCTGTTGGTTCAGAGGGAGGCAAACTCCCTCCCTCTCCTTTCCGAGTACATCTGGCCAGTTGTGCATGGGGAGTGGGGTTGGCAGCAGAAGTTCCATCCTCTCCTCTTCAGGTATGCGGTGGAGACCTTGAGGCTGTGATCTTCTTGCTTAGTAGAATCCAGATAGGAGTTAAGTTCCTAACCCTCCCTGCAAAGATGAGGGTTTGTGTGGGAGCATCCAGACACATGGCAAGCAACCAAGCACCTTGTTCCTCTTTATGAAACCCACTATGAATCATGCAGACTGTGACACACCCAGGTATGAATGACTAGGGTTCTGTTGCACCCTATTCCACAATGTGAAAGTGTTATGAGCATATTGTTGATCACACAGACATTCCTGTTCTCCCCAAAATTTGTGCAAGACGGACCTGAATAGGACTTGGAGGGGAGGGGGTGATTCACAGAAAGGCTGGAAAGACACTTCAGTATGTCTGCATCCTTTTCGAAGTGTCTCTCCCAGAATTGAACCAGTCACTAGTGGTCATGTTAGGATTACATTACCTTTATTTTATTTACAGCTTGCACTGAGAGCTCATGTTAATATAGCAATCTGTGATCCCTCTTCTGGGCCTGTCTTCTTGTGGCTGCTGCTTTCTGAGATAGTGGGTGTGAACACAGGACAACACAAATATGGAGAAATTTACCTTCAGTTTTACTCCCCTGTGCTCCACCAGTCTTTGTACTATCTGCATATTTAACCAGGGTTTTACGTAGTCATCTACATTGTTGGTAAAATATTAAGAAATGCCCAACCAAGAACTGTTCCAAGGGAGAGTCTGTTAAAACAGTTCCACTCACTGTTATAGTCTCATTAATATCATCTTGAGATCTGTCAATCAGCTAGTTTTTAATCCATCTAATCTGTGCCCCAGCATTTAAAAAAAATGATGTGGTACTTAGTTACCTACCTTGGAAAAGTCCACGTATAGTACTACAGTATATGAACATGGGTGTCTTTATCAACCAGACCTGCAATCCTGTTAAAGATAGCATACTTGTGACAATACTTACCATTCATTAAGCCATGCTGATTGTCATTAATTATATTTTTAGAGCTAGCTCCTTGGTACAGTCCCAAATTCACCATGTTCTTATCTGGTATTGATATTGGGCTAACTGTCTTTTACCCTTTAAAGTATTGGAACTGCATGGGAAGTCCTCTAGTCTTTTGGTATTTCCCCAATTTAAGGTATGTTAAAATTAACATTAATAGTTTAGAGAGCTCCCTTGACTAGCTCTTTTTAGGACACGTATGTTTACGTTTTGTGGGCCTGTTGATATAAAAAATAATATATTCTTAAAAGTTATTGCCTCATCCTCTTTGGTTATTGGTGGGAAGCTTTTTGTTTGACCCATGTCATCATATGGGGTGGCTATTCCCTCCTGCTTGATTTGTTTCAAATTCACAAGTGCTTTCTTTTTGTCTTTTTTATATTGCCATTACAACCAAGCTTCACCTAGGGTTTTTGTTTGTTTTTTTTGGTTTGAACATTTAATAAACCTACTAGCCTTCAGTTATTTCATCAGTTCCTTTGACTTCTCTCATCTTTCACAGACACTTTAACTTGCAACTGTGCAGCCCCTTTTTCATCCTGTGTATATAAACTTTTGTTTGGTTTTATCATCACTTCCTCATCTTCTTTAAATATGAACATTATCTTGGTCAACATTAGCTTTTTTCACATCTGTGGAATTGTGGTTTTTGGAGTATGCAGTAGGATACTTTTGAACAATTCCCAGTTTCTGTTGAAACTTTCCACTTGAAATGTCATGTTCCCAGTCATGCAAGTTTTAGAAAAATAGCCCTTTTAAAATTGCAAGAATATAAATATTCTGTTAGTGTGATATGCTGCTTGTACAAGGTAAATGTAAACAGATCGCATTCACTGATCCCTATGCAACTGCTTCCTTTTTTCTTAATTGTTCAGTGAGGCCCAGTATCGCATTAACCCACTTTGTTTGCAGGACCTTTTATATAAAGCAGTTATTGTATATTCTTTTTTTAAACTTTAGGAAAGCTTTATTTTTGACCTCACAGGATATCCAGTGAACATTAGGTGTGTTAATAGATTTTCTTCCTGTGCCTTTTAGAAAGATATTTCAGGAGGAGTTTGTCATGTTCCTTAATGAAACTAGGTATGCACTAACTGATGCCCACCAATATCTCATCTCTAGCTAGAACTTTGATCCATAAGTAATTGAGAGCCTATGATTCTGATTCATGTATAGTTCTGTAACACATAACATTTTTTTTTATATAAAGTACCTTTTTATTTAAAAACATCTCCTTTTTTCAATTCTGCCTGTATAGAACACATTACAACTGTCATTTTAATTTTGACCCATCCCTGTAATTTTCTATAACACCAAATACAGGCAGTCCTCAGACTTATGATACAATTGGTTTCTGAAAACTGCATCTTAAGTTGAAACATCGTAACTTGGAAGTGATTTTCCGTAATTTTGCCAAAAATATCCCAGAATTTTGTATTCAATTAATTATAGATGAGTAATATAGCTACATGATCGCTATTTCCAATATAAATATATTAATATTTATTTGGAAGGACTTCTTTGAGGTGACTTTGCTGGACTTTTTGAAGGGCTCTTGGTTGGACTTTTTGAAGGGTTCTTGGCTAGAGTCTTCTCAGGAGTCTTGGCTGCAGGTTTCTCTGGGGTCTTGTCTGCTTTCTTAAAGTATCCAAGGAAGTTTGGACAGATTATTCTCCAGGGAGATGGGCAATACAGCAAACTTGTTCGCTGGCATGGCATCGGATCAAGCATCGTAAAGTTGAAACTGATGTCAAAGTCAAAACAAGGAATCAATTTATAAACATTGTACGTGCTGTTCGTTGCAACTTGAAATGCCTTAAGTTGAGGACTGCCTGTAAACCTATAATACCTAATAAATGGTATCATTGTTTTTCTCATGCATATGAACATCTCCAACTTTTCTTGTCATTAACTAAACGCCTAGCATTAGTTTATAGACAATTTATGTGCCCATTTGTACATGTATTTGTCATATGAATGGCACCATAAATAGGGTGACCACATGTCCCAGTTTGGCTGGGACACTCCAGGATTCCCTAGTCTGGACCCAGACAGTTGGTAAAAAGTCCCAGGCCGGAGTCCAGCGGGGAGACAGAGCAGCATGGTGTGCCAGGCAGGCACCACTGCTCCTGCAGGAGGCAAGGTAGGCAGACTGAAGAAGGTGGCATGTCTTTGCTCCAGCATAGGAGCCGTGGTGCCTGGCAGACTGCCTGCCTGGTGTACCATGCCACTCTGCCTCCCTACTGGACTCTGGCCTAGGACTTTTAACTAACCAGCCAGGACTGGGCTATGGAGTCCTGGAGTGTCCTGGCCAAATGGGGATGTATGGTCACCCTAACTGTAAGGCACATATTTGGATGTTTGTACTAAGCTTTCCCTTTTGCTTCATGGTTGGTTCTGACTACTCAAGCTAATCGGCACCTGGGAGGTTTGTATCCTGCTACTCGGTGGAGGCTGTCAGAGACTTATGATCTACCTCTCCATAGTAAGTGTCCCAATATTCCCCTGAAAAGGTCTTTTCCTCTACGGTGCTTAGTTAACCAACGTTTCACTTCACTTCTCACATCTCTTGCTCCAGGTACAGAAACAATTTGCAAGATCATCTGGTTTTTGTGT